AAAACAACATGCCAATGCTAAACATCACAGGAAAATGAGATTCTTCCAACTAAATGAGTCACCAGTACAGCAAAGATCTTTGTTGCAGCCATTAAGAGAAATGATAAGATTAGAACATGATGCAGAACTTTGGAGCACGTCAATTATTATGCCAAATCCAACTACTTCGCAAGAAAAGCTTACATCACAGGATGATGATGATGAGATGAAGCAATTTGAACCTTTATCTCAAGATGAAGACTTAGTAAATATTGCAGATGAGTTAGAAGATGAACCACATTATCATTTGCGAAAAAAATTACGGTCAGAAGAGAGGGTCGAAGCAAATTTTGAAGAATCAGAAGCAGAATCAGAATTAGTAAACTTTGAAGATACTGAATTCATTGATTCTGAAGACCTTCAAGGTGCGTTATTAGATAATGCCATAGATGTAGTTGATGGAAAACCCACACCAGAGCACGTAGTAAAATGGCCAAATGATGCATATTGCGACTTTTTGGAGTTGATAGTAGAGGGTAATATCTCTAATAAGATAGGTGATAAAATAATAAAGTTTTTCAACAAATATAGTAATTTAGACAAATCACCATTGCTAAGTTCAATTAAATATGGCAAGGATTATCTTAATCAAATAAATTCACCTTTGATAGACTTTAAAGAAAAGGTTGTTGCGACCTATAATGAAATTAATTTTACCCTCTACTATCGCCCACTTTTTCGTGCTATTCAAGCTCTTCTGCAACGACCAGAAGTAGCCAATAACTTTGTCCATAAAGGAATCCAAAATAAAATGAAAGTCTGTATAATAATTTGATTTCCGTCTGCAATGATAAATTACATTATTTATGCTTATTTAGTTGTTTATATTCTCAGGATGATAGAGGTGAAACAAGAATATTTGGCGAACCTTTCGAAGGTAACTGGTGGTTAGAAACTGAAAAGAACCTTCCATTATTAAATCGACTATTGTCCATCATCTTATACTCAGACGCAACAACTTTCGATGGACTTGGGAAATCATCAGGCCATCCAGTTTTTTAACTCTTGGTAACATTCCAAATCGTGTTCGTAATTTGCCGGAGGCTAAAATTCTTTTAGGATTTCTCCCTAAAGTCCAAGATACAGGAATCAAAACAACAAAAAGTTTTCAAAGCTTACAGCGCGATGTATATCATAAATGCTTCAAAATTATGCTCCAACCTTTATTAGAAAAATCTGAAGCGCAATATTTTGGAATTAATAGACAAGTGATTACTTTCGCTGCACGGATATCTTTTTTTCTCGCAGATATGCTTGAAGCTGATGATATAACTGCGACATATAAAGGAGCGCGGTGCAAAATGCCATGCCATACTTGCATGGTTTTGCAAAGTGATCTGAACAATATGAGTCTTAAACTAGAGAATGTACCTCATAGAACTCATGAAAATATGAAGCAAGTAATCAACGATGGCCAATGAAAGGAGTATTCTGTGCATTCTGTTGAAAATTCCTTCTGGAAATTTCCGTAAATATCTTTATATTTCTGTAATGAATTTCAAAGATGTAAATTTTTATTCATTTATAATTTGTTTCAGAAATTTTAATATATACGAAGCCTGCGTTCCTGACCGTATGCACCATATCGATCTTGGACTCTTCAAATACCAATTGGAATTTACACAAGATATTTTGAAGGCAGTCGGAGGAACAGAACTACAAAAAAAATTTGATGATCGACTTCGTCAGATTCCTCGCTTCCCGGGTCTTAAACTCTTACATAAATTAGGACATTTAAACGTACTTACTGTTTCAGACTATTGTAATATAATGAAAATTGCTTTTTTTGTCTTAGATGAAATTTTTGAAGGGAACGAAATAACCTGTAAAGAACTTTGCGAACTTTACGCAAAGTTTAGTAAGATATATATAATGAGCAGGAAAGAAATGTACACTGAAGGAGATCTGAAAATTTTTGAAGTAAGTCAAAGTTCATAAAGTCACATTGGAAATCATCAACACACTAAAGATTATCAATTATAGTCAGCAATTATTGATTGGTGCATTGATTTCAAAAAGATCTTCTCTTCATTGTCCACTACTGACTGCAATTTTCCGAAGTTATACAGTTGGCGGTATCACGCAGGTAGGACGCTAGTAAACATACAATATATGATTTTATCCTAATTTATTTTGATTGTTTTCAGTGCCTGCTATTAGAAAATATGGTGCATTGAATGGGTTGTTAACGGAAACGTACGAAACCCTTTACAAATCATATGTCAAAATCCCATATCGGTTATCAAACAGAAAAGACGTAATGAGACAATTGGTGAACGCTGTTAGTTGAATCCGACATGACTGAAATCAATTTCTTTGAAATATACATACATTTAATTATAAATTCTAATATTTTTTATAGGTAAAACACAAAGAATTGACATCTTCTGCTAAAAAAGTTATTCATTGTAAAGCCAAAAAATTTGGAAAAGTACTTTGGAAACTAACATTAGATAATATCGACCAAAAAATAAAATCGTTGAAAAAATCTGAAAATCCACTACATTCAAACTTCATTGAAGGGTTATCGCAATTAATTTCAACTTTAGATACCTTTCTGGACACATCTTCGCAGGAGTCCGAAAGTGACGAATTTTACATTAAAATTTATGATTCAGTACACCTGGAAAATAGACATATTTTAAGAACGACAGGAGAATTCCAAGGTAAAGAATGGTTCAGTAATATTGTGGTAACTCCTGCGGAAGATCAAGAGCAATACAATTTGGATGAGGGAGCTTGGTATGGAAAAGTAAGTGAATGATTAAGATTGATAAAGTGTTGTATGTCATTAATCAATTTTCTTTATAAGGTGTTGTTATTATTTAAATTCTTCCGAGGTTTTTTCAAAGAGCCATATGAACTTGCTCTGGTTCGTTGGTTTGATATTATTATGGAGNCTGCGTTCCTGACCGTATGCACCATATCGATCTTGGACTCTTCAAATACCAATTGGAATTTACACAAGATATTTTGAAGGCAGTCGGAGGAACAGAACTACAAAAAAAATTTGATGATCGACTTCGTCAGATTCCTCGCTTCCCGGGTCTTAAACTCTTACATAAATTAGGACATTTAAACGTACTTACTGTTTCAGACTATTGTAATATAATGAAAATTGCTTTTTTTGTCTTAGATGAAATTTTTGAAGGGAACGAAATAACCTGTAAAGAACTTTGCGAACTTTACGCAAAGTTTAGTAAGATATATATAATGAGCAGGAAAGAAATGTACACTGAAGGAGATCTGAAAATTTTTGAAGTAAGTCAAAGTTCATAAAGTCACATTGGAAATCATCAACACACTAAAGATTATCAATTATAGTCAGCAATTATTGATTGGTGCATTGATTTCAAAAAGATCTTCTCTTCATTGTCCACTACTGACTGCAATTTTCCGAAGTTATACAGTTGGCGGTATCACGCAGGTAGGATGCTAGTAAACATACATTATATGATTTTATCCTAATTTATTTTGATTGTTTTCAGTGCCTGCTATTAGAAAATATGGTGCATTGAATGGGTTGTTAACGGAAACGTACGAAACCCTTTACAAATCATATGTCAAAATCCCATATCGGTTATCAAACAGAAAAGACGTAATGAGACAATTGGTGAACGCTGTTAGTTGAATCCGACATGACTGAAATCAATTTCTTTGAAATATACATACATTTAATTATAAATTCTAATATTTTTTATAGGTAAAACACAAAGAATTGACATCTTCTGCTAAAAAAGTTATTCATTGTAAAGCCAAAAAATTTGGAAAAGTACTTTGGAAACTAACATTAGATAATATCGACCAAAAAATAAAATCGTTGAAAAAATCTGAAAATCCACTACATTCAAACTTCATTGAAGGGTTATCGCAATTAATTTCAACTTTAGATACCTTTCTGGACACATCTTCGCAGGAGTCCGAAAGTGACGAATTTTACATTAAAATTTATGATTCAGTACACCTGGAAAATAGACATATTTTAAGAACGACAGGAGAATTCCAAGGTAAAGAATGGTTCAGTAATATTGTGGTAACTCCTGCGGAAGATCAAGAGCAATACAATTTGGATGAGGGAGCTTGGTATGGAAAAGTAAGTGAATGATTAAGATTGATAAAGTGTT